TCTATCATCTATCTCATTTTCCCAAATCTTCAAACCTGTGAACAATTTTAAGATGAGTTTGTAAATACCAGTGTGTGCATGTATATAAGGCACCAGATCAGAAAGTAACAAATAATGAAGCTGTGCACCTCTTAGCACAATTTTAAAACGCCTACATTTATCTCATATTTTGGCATAAAAGAAGGTTGAGAAATCTCAAAAGCAGCTAAAATGATTAAGAGGATAAACTAAAGGACACTTATAATAGCTCACTCTGTTGGGCAGATGGCAGTATGGGAAAAGAGGGCAGCCAGGCTGCCTGTTCAATTAGAATCCTAAGGATAATGTGGAACCATCTGGGTGGCAAATGAACTGCGGAATAGGAATACCTTCAGGGGACGCAATTCTAAGACAATCAACACAGGACAGGGTGAAGTGTGGAATCTGCACGGCTGGGCGGGAACTCACTGAGTGTGATCTAGTCCAGTCACGAACTATAACAGATCTGGGTGAAGTGTTACAATGGGGAGCTAACGTAACTAAGGTGTGATGGTGTATATTTAATTTGGGGAAAGAAAGGCTAAGAGGATAATCTTCACTCTAGATTATGAATGGCACACACATATTAAAGCCAATTTTTGTTTTTTCTCTCATCCAAATCTGGAACATTTGGATAAGGCTATCCTTTGATAGTTGAACAAGGTACCTGATTTATGTCAGTCACAAGAGAGCACATTAGAAGTAGAGATTGTATGGTACATGACTATCTGCGTTTATTTCCATACTCTACCATTTACTAGCTATACGACTTGAGGAAGAATTTTAACTTTCTTTGTATTAGGTTTTTTTCCTTGTATTTTAGGGTTTTTGTTTTTGTTTTTTGGTGGAACTTGGGATTGAACTCAGACCCTTGCGCTTGCCAAGGAAGCACTTATTCCACTGAGCCATCTCCCCGGCCCCCATATTAGGTTTCTTTACTGAAACATAGAGACAGTAATAGGACCTATCTTACAAAGGTGTGGTGAAGATTCTTATGCAAGCAAATAACCCAGAAAAAAGAATCTGGCACATGGTAACTCTCAATAAATGTTGGTTATTGATACTTCTACAATTCATTACAAAAATCAACAAAAAAAACCTTTTTTTAGTAGCTGGGATCAAACTCAGGACCTTATTTATTTATTTTTTTTTAAACAAATACTTTATTTATTTATTTTGTGTGTGTGTGGCCAGTTCAGCCCACCAGGGGGCGGGGCTGGCTGGCATGTGGTGCTGGGGGATTGAACCGCGGTCCCTGTGCTTTGCTTAGCTTAGCTTGTTCTAAGTAGGTGCTTTAGACCACTGAGCCATCTCACCAGCCCCAGGACCTTATTTTTTAATGTATTCGGTACAGGGTCTCACTATACAGCTCAGACTTATAGTGATCCTCCTGTTTTCAGCCTCCCTAGTGCTGGGATTATAGGCATGCACCATCATGCCTGATCTCAGTGCTCCCGGGGGTGGGGCCAACATGGCATGCGGTACCAGGGTTCAAACCCTAGTCCCTGTGCTTGCCTAAGCAGACAATTAGTCCACTGAGCTTTCTTGCTGGCCCTGGCCCAACAAACTGATTCTTTTTTTTTTTTTTAACAAACTGATTCTTTAAACAAACTAACAGAACTAGGTTATACCTGATTTTATTAAAGGTTAATGGTATCTAAGTGGGATGAACAAGCAAGGCAATGCCTATTTTCCATAAACCTTTAACTCTAGAAAGTTTTTTTTTTTTTTTTTTTTGTGGAACCGGCCAACTCTAGAAAGTAATGACCACTAGCTTTGTAAATCCTTTCCTCATTGCCTTTATAAAAGGCATAAAAGCAAAATGAGAAAAAGAAACAGATTTGTAAGGAAAGGAATGTCCTCAGATACATCACTGTAACCTGATACGATAAATTGGTGAAGTCGCTATGTCAGGATGAAGCCTTCTAGGATTTCATACCAGTTAAAAGGGTTGGGCAAGTTTGCCCACTATACCCACAAAGCCTGCATTCAGTTCCAGTACAAGGCCAGGCTCTTTCCTGCCTGCAGGCCTTGGCAGTTGAGCCCTCTTATGCCTGGACCAGTGTGACTTCCTCATCAGCCTCCAGGGGCTCCTTTTCCCTCACTCTAAAGGTCCAGCTTGAAAGTGACTACTCCAATACCCATTTTATTTTATTTTTTTCTGTATTTGGTACAAGGTCTTGCTATGTAGCTCAGACTCCAGTGATCCTCCTGCTTTCAGCACTGGGATTACAAGGGTGTACCACCATGCCTGGTTTTGGAGAAAGCTCAGCTCACCTGGGGCAGGGCTGGTGCAGCAGGTGGTGCATGGGATTGAATCAGATCCCTGGGCTTGCCAAGCGGGCACTTTGACACTGAGCTATCTCACTGGCCCTCCAATACTCTTTCTTATTTATTCTTTTCTTGCTTCCTGAACAGCATAGATCATGCAGATCTGTACTTGCGTTATCTATCTTTAATGTGTCACATACATTGATCACCCCCCTCCCCCTTTTAAGACAGGGTCTACTATATTGTGTAGGCTGGCCTTGAACTCACTAAGTCTCCCAGGCTGGCCTCAAACTCCTGGCAATCTTCTTGCCTTAGCCTCTGAGAGCTGGAATTATAGGTGTCTGCCAGCACACCTGGCAAGAAGGAGGCTTTTACTTATGTATTAGGCTAGAAAATATCTAAGTGATGCCTCAATAAGATCAAACTAAACAAATTGCTCCATTCCAAGTTTAGTTAGAACTTGACTGATGTAATCTGTTAATGACTAGCACTTCCCCAAACAATGACATTGTAAGTTTTGCTTTCACATTTGCCCTACTTTGTGTGTGTTGTGCTACTGGGAAATGAACTCTAGGCCTTGTTCATGCAGGGCAAATGCTGCCACTAAGTGACACCCCCCAGCCCTGCCTTATACATTTTAACAGTGAGAGAGCTAGGTCCAAATTTCTGTCCAATAACGGGTTAGCTGCATAAGAATTACTGAGCAGCTTATGGAAGTGCAGATTTATGGACCAAAACTCAGAGATTCTGATTTAGGACTTGTGAAATATGTCTCTAGAATTCATATATTTAAAACTTTAGGAGCCAGTCAAATAGCTCAGCAGATTGAAACGCCTGCAAGCAGGTGCAGGGGCCAGGGGTTTGATCCTGGGCCTGTGGGCTGGGCCCCACCCCCAAGGCACGATGAGATGGCAATTGAGACTGGGCTTGGTGGCCCAAGCCTGTAATCCCAGCTCTTGGGTGGCTGTTAACAGGTGGATCACTACGAGTCTGATCTAGTAGTGAGACCCTGAACACCCTGTAGACCCTTCTCTAAAATACAGAAAAACAACAACTTTATTTTTACATGGTATGTAAAATAATAAGGAAAAGTTCATTCCTGTTCCCTGGCGGCAGGCTCTGGATTTCCATAAGCTACCAACATTAGCAATTTCCTGTATGTCCTCCCAGAAAACAATTTGCTTAAGGAAGCATATATGTATCCTTTGCTTTAAATGTACATTCACATACAAAAAAAACATTTTCAATTTTTCTAATCTCATTTTTCCACACACACACACACACACACACACACACACACGAAATAAAGGGATTTTGGTTTTTGTTCTTTTTAGTGGTGCTGGGAGCCAAATCCAAAGCTGTCTGAATGTTAGGCAAGTGGTCTACCCCTGCGCTAGATCCCCATCTAGTATCTGTACTTCTTTAAGTATCCCAGATATTCTGATGTAAGCCAAATATAAAACCACTCATTAGCAGAGTAGAGGGATTAAGTGCCACTCACTATGACACATTAAAAGCCCAGTAATGTTGAAAAGATATCCTCTGAAATAGTCTTCTCCAGGGAATGGTGGCATAGCCCTACAATACAGCACACTGACAGGCTGAGGCAGAAGAATCTCAAATTGGAGCTAGCCTGGACTACTTTGCAAGACCCTGTCTCAAAAAAGAAAAAGGGATGTAGCTGTAGTTCAGTGCTACAGTGCTTAGCTAGCATGTACAGGGCCCTGGGTTCAGCTTCAGAAACTAAAAAAAAAAAAAAAAAAAAAAGTCTTATTTCCTTGATGTGACCCACTTGTCTGCCACCAAACAACTAACTCATTCTCCAATGTTACCAAAGCAAAAAAACCACCAATAATTCAAGTAGATATTGTCAAAGCTGTTCAATTTTCAATTCCTAGAATCCTCTTTTGCCAGTTATTACCTGAAACTATCAAGCTGACAATTCCTACACCAGAAATACTGGTACCTGGGTTGAAAGGAGGTTTCATCTACACAATGAACCAGGGCTGACCTCTCCCAGCATTAAAGTAGTTTAATAAAGCACAGTTGAAATACTTCCTTTACTAGTCTTTACTCATACAACAGCATCCAATCCTTCCACAGAATCATTTTCTTAATATCTGGGCCAAAGCAACTAACTTGGAAAATGCTAGGATCAGGCCGTCTTGTTTGGGGCGAACTTGGGCTCCCACTGACCTGACTTGACCTCTACCTGGGGGTGCGGGCGATAGCTGGGCTCCATCTACAGCTTAACTCCTAACTCTTCTACCTTGGGGACTGCAGGAGTTGCCTTTTGGCGCGCAGGAAAGTTCTGTCCGAGGGACTCCCGAGAATTTCCTCCGCAGTGTCCCTTTCACCACGAGGGACACCGCGGGTGGCATCCTTAATTCCCGGCACCACGCCGAGGGAGGAGGAAGGTGGAGGCGCTCGAGGCTCAGCCGAGACCGACCAGGACCAGCCGGGACCCCTAACTCAAGGGGGTCTGGAGGGCGTGACTCCGCTATCCCTCTTTCCGGGATAAGAATCTTAGGATGGGAAAGCGGGGTTGGGGAGCCCAAGCCTCAGACACCCCTCTTCTCCATTTGCCTTTCCCTCCATTTTTCCTCTCTTGCGCCCCCCACGCCCCTGCGTCTCCTCCCTCCGCCCGCCCGCAGTCCCTTCCCCATCGGCCAACCTTTCTCTCCCGTCTGCCCTCTGCCCCGTCCCCTCACCCAGCATGATGGGGCTAAGCCGCCGGGCCAGGCCCTTGGACAGGTCGTACACGTAGAGCTTCACGGGATACAAATGCGGCGGCTCCATGAGGACCCGTGGTGGCGACCACGATGGTCCTCGGCCCTCGGGGACCCGGCAGCGGCTGGGACCTTCCCGTACCCGACGGGGGTGGGGAGAGGTGGGAGCGGGGTAGGAACCGAGCCCGGGCCCGGTCTGCGGGGCGGGGGAGAGGCGGCCCTGCGCTGCTCGCGCACCAGCAGCGGCTACCGGCAACGACTACTGTGAGGTGACAGAGGGTACGGGGAGGGTCCGCAATGAAGAGGGGGCGGGGGCGGGAACGTCCTCTCGCGCATGTGCGTGAGGCCCAATGGGCGACGGGGCGGGGCTTCACCGAAGGGGCGGGGCATTCTCCAATAGACCTGTGAGCGGGCTTGTGGGAGTGGGCGCGGCAGCCAGAAAGGAAGAAGGCGGCGCTGTGCGTAATGACGTAAGAGGCGTTGTTGGCCGGGAACGGCAACCTGCGCGTGTCTGGTGCCCTCCTGCGCGAGTCGATCCTTGAGGTTGAGGTAGGTTTGTGCTCGGTGCTTGTTGCTTACAGCCCGGGACTGGCTTCGTCCTGCTTGACTACTCCAGTGTGGTGCATTCCCCTAACCTCCCAGGGGAGGCAGCATCCGCCAGAAGCGTGCAGCCCCGAGTGGAGGGCGCCGTTGGCTCCCGCCGCTCGCGCGGATTGCGATATCCGGCTTCCGGGCCCGCCGGCGCTGGACTTCAGTGGGCGTGCAGAACTGCGCGGTTGGGGGAGATTTGGGGGCGGAATGAGGACCCTGGTAGTGGAGATGGCGTTAGAGACGGGATGTCAGGCTCGGGCTTCTGCGCAGGCAGGGCGGACACCATGGCTACCGCTGGCCTTGAAAAGCAGTTGTAACGAACAGCTGAGGAGAGGCTGCGCTCCAACGACCCAGAGGCAGAAGGACCCATTCGCATTAGTAACTCCGAGATTTTGTAACAGCTCTCAAGAGAGCCTAAAAGTTGACATGTAGATTTATTACTGCTGGGCACAATGGCGCACTCCTGTAATCCCAGGTATTCCGGAGGTAGAAGCAAGGGGATCGCGAGTTCGAGACTACTCTGGACAAGACATTTTGTCTCAAGAAGAAAAACATTTGCTGTTACCTTACCTCATCTTTCATTTAGCAGAAACCAGTATGTCAGGGTGGGAGTCTTACTATAAAACCGGGGGCGATGAAGAGGAAGACGAGGAGGAGGAGAGCCCCGATGCAGGTGGTAAGTGACTTTAACCTGTCCTGCTGTCCTGTGTCTCTCTGTTGGATGGCCTTTGCTGTCTGGTGGTCCACTTTTTTTTCCTCCACATAATCTGAAATAACTTTTCCTGCTCTGAACTTTACAGAGACACCCTATACTCTTTTATTCTTACTATGTTGTGGGACATTTCTAGCCTTACATTTTTTCTGGTTACCGGTAGGTTGACATCTGTTGAACTTCAATAAGTGAACCTTTTTGGGGGTATCCTTTGTCACCTTATGTGGCTCAGGTAAGACGCTTTCTCACTCAAGAAAGTAGTTTTATTCATTCCAGGACCTCTGTAAAAATACCTTCCCACTATAGTAACTGCAGCCGTGGGAGAGTAAACATTAGTGACACAGTTAAGGAGAGTACTCAGGTTGGGCAATACAGGAAGACACAGGGCAAAGGAAGAGAAATGAAAGGCTTGTGTTCTGGTTAATTTCATTCCCGAGTAGAAAATTTTGAAGTGTTTTTAAAAATGTTTTTATTAAAAGTGAGAAACATAGGATGCAAAAAAATAAAACTTACTGTATTCTGTGTATCCACCACCCTAATGTAACCACTAGTAGCATTTTGTGTTTTTATTTCATTTTATTTTTGTATCTTGCACTTGCTATGTAAGATCGCTACCATTGAGCTGTATCTCCAGACCTTTTTATTTTGAGACTGGATCTTGCCAAGCTGCCTCAGTTGGGGTTAAATTCCTAATCCTCTTGCCTCAGCCCCCTCAATAGCTAGAATTATAGGTGTTCACCACTACATCAAACTGCCTTTTTAATTTTTGCATCAGGGCCCCATTATCATAATGTTTCCTAAGTGGGCTTACGACTGCTGGTCTCAGGAAATCCTTCTGCTTCAGCTTCTGTAGTAGGTAGGGCTGTGTTTCTAGCCACTGTGTCCAGCTTCGTTTCAGCATTTTTAATATTTTCTTCATGTATTTTTCAGTCTTTGGTTGAATTGTTTTTTAGGGGAGGTTTATTATTTGCTGTTGAGGACGGAACCTAGTGCTTCCAGCTTGCTAGGCAAGCATTCTACCACTGAGCCAAATCCCCAGCCCTGAAATGTCTGACATGCTTTTTTTTTTTTTTGTATTTAGTATAGGGTCTACAGGGTCTCACTACACAGATAAGACAGAGTGATCCTCCTGATTTCAGCCTCCCAAGTGCTGGGATTACAGGCGTGCACAATGCCCAGTCAGTCTTATCTCTTAAGTACACACACACACACACACACACACACACACAGTTTTCTTCATATCTGATTTTTATATTATAATCATAGTGTTATAGGAAGATGAAACTCCTGACCTGGATGAGTTCGTGTTCTCTAAAACCAAAGAATGAATTTTAGGAACAGTGGAGGTTCAGGGTAAACCTTTATTGGAAAGGAAAGCATCTTTTGGAGAGGGACAGGACAGGGGCCAGAGTGGGTTGCCCAGGAAGCTGTCTCTTTTAGGTTATTTTTATAGGGCAAAACCATGCAGGGCTAAGGTAGAGAAGAAGGAGTCTTGCGTAGATGGATACAGGATGGACAAAACTATGGTCGCCCAATGGGATTACAAGCACCATTGCCCAGGTAAAATTGATTAGGCCCAGCACCAAATGGAGTAGCGAGTCACGTAGCAAGCGGGCATGAATGTAAAACAGGACCTTCTCTGGTGGCCTTCTGACAATGATTCTTCCCGACTAATGAGCAATCCCGGATGCCAACTTTAGGGAGGTCAGCATTTGTTTGGTCTTTAGGTCTGGCTCAGCAGGAGCAGCTCCCGCAGTTGTAAGGTGTCTGGTCTCTGTCATCTCCTCTGAGGGCCTGACCCTGTCTGACGGCCTATAATATTTCTATCTAACTCAGGCTGCCTGCAACAATAGTGCATGTATGTTTCCATTTTAAGTTATACCACTCTTCAAAAAAGTTTAAAAATACATTTTAAATTTTGTGTTCTTTTTTTCCTTCTTGTATTAGATACATCTTTACACAAGGTTACATATATGTAGTTATTTATTTTGTTTTATTTTTTTGTCTTTCCGAGACTGGGTCTCACTATGCTGTTTGGGCAGGCCTTGAGCTCACTTTGTAGCCCAGGCTAGTCTTGAAGTCTCACAACAGTCCTCCCGCCTCAGCCTCCCAAGTGCTGGGTTATAGGTGTACACTACCATACCCAGCCTGTAATTTATTTATTTATTTATTTTTGTTTTGTTTTGTTTGTTTGGTGGAACCGGGGATTGAACTCAGGCCCTTGCACTTGCCAGGCAAGCTCTTATTCTACCGAGCCATCTCCCTGGTCTGTAATTTATTTTAAGTGTATTATAATTCTATTTCTTGCTGAGCATTTTAGTTATTTTCAGTTTGTTGCTTTTTTTTTTTGGAGGTGGGGTGTTTGAGATAGGGTCTTACAATGTAGTTCAGGCTGGTCCCAAACTCAACATGTAGTCCCGACTGACCTTGAATCAATTTGTTGCTTTAATAACATTGTAGTAAATTTTGCACAAGGGTTTATCATATCTTTTTATTTTTATTTTATTTATTGTTATTTTTGTGTTTAGTTCAGGGTGTTCAGGGTCTCACTATGTAGATCAGACTCGTAGTGAGTCTCCTGTTTTCAGCCTCCCAGGCACTGGGATTACAAGCCTGCGCCACCATGCCCAGTCTCAATCTCAGCATGCCCTGGGGTCAGGGCTGCCATGGCATGCAGGGGACGTGGGGGGAGATTGAGCCCCAGCCGCTGCTCTCTGCCTAAGCAGTTGCTTTAATCCACTGTGGTATCTGGCTGGCCCTTCCATATCTTTTTTTTTTTTAATTAGTTAAGTTTATTGATACATTTTAGATATACATAATGATCACATTCATCATGGGACATTTGTATGCATGATATATCTTGCTGCTTTTTTTTTTT